AACAAGCTCAATATATCTTCGTTTTCGTTTTTCATTGTTGTAAATTATACAATGTCTTAAGAGTGTGGGTGTGGGGTGTGGGAGAAGCTAAGAGAAGAGGTACTCACACCCATACCAACACCCACACCCAAATCCACAGTTATGCCTTCACCCATGTCCTCACCCACACTCAATCCACAATTATACACTCACCCATACCTTCACCCACACTCAAATCCACAGTCATACCCTCACCCACACCCAAATCCTCACCGATGAAAGAGGAATATAGTCGTGTCTAATCAATGATGATCATAAAACGTCAACAGAGTGTTCTGTTAAGGAGAAAAGGTTTTTTTCTTGCAGGAAATTGTTTGTTGGAATAAAAGACGTGACAAATATTAAATGAAATTAAATAGCTCGAGAAAGTTATTTGAGCTATAAACACGCTAGATTGAATCAATTTGAATCAGATCTGAACTAAGCAATATAATTGACGCATTACAGTATTAGTTGTTTCAGAAAGATGGTTCATTGGTTAAATCAAATTTAACTTTATCTTGAATCGCCCATTGTTTTTGTGATCCTAGCTGTCTGTTTATTTTCAGGTAAAGTAAAATAAAGGTATGTATAATTCACAAGTTTGGATCACACTGATTTGCAGCTTACTGAGATTGTCCATGGAAGATTTTGATCATCATTGGATGATCTACTCGCAAGACAAAACTCACACAGAATGCTTCGTCATTAAATTCCGTTATTATTGTCGTCCAATCACAGTTGATACCATTAATGAATCATGCCAGGACGGGGATTCATGGACTTTCGACAAGTTGGAGAAGCTCAACGTGACAACTGAAAATTTGATGAATTGGTTAGTACCTTTCCATTTAATTGAACAATACGCTGCTCATTTAGATGCTAATGAAAATACTCTTGCAACTGAAGCAACGATCTGCAACTGTAGTCAGAGTCGGATTGGCAGATATTGTGAATACAATCTTAATTCGAGGAAGACTACGCCTGGTAATTTGTTAGATCACCAGATGTCCTACGTGCAGAATTCAAATAATCACGAAACACTTACAAGACTCGTGGATGGGATCATGTGCCCAGGAGCAGATATGTTTCTCGAGTGGCGACATATTTGTGATGGGTTCACTCAGTGTGAAAATGGGGCTGATGAGCTTGATTGTCAGCTGTTGGAATTTTTCAAATGTGAAACAAATGAATTTCAATGTCGCAATGGAATGTGTATTCCAATCGAGTTTGCCTTCGATGCAACACCTGATTGTATGGATCGGAGTGATGAGCAAGCACTTGATGAACTCTACACACGGTACTATCAGTGCACAACACAGTCGATGTTCGAGTGCGATGACCGACTGTGTCATAAAGACCAGTTTTCATGTGGAAATGGTGAATGCATTCCATGGACAGCAATTCTGAACGACCAGAAAGATTGTGGTAACTTTCGTGATATCGCCTACATCTGCGAAACATCAAACTTGGTATTAGCAACTCGTGGAGAATGGCCTAGTATCTGTAAACAAACGACGGAACTTGTTCCTCCTTTGACAAATAGTTCAGACTGTCGACAAACTCTTGGACATTTACTACAAACTCACCCTTCTCAACAACTCAGAGATCTTGCCAGCATCAATCTCAGAACTCGTTGCGATGATCTCATCCTATATCTAGAACAGAATGCTTTCTTTCCAGGTTTGAAAATAATCTACAATCGCTCTCGTATTGAGATATTCATCAGCAATCCAAGTAATTTAAACAAACACATACCGAAGACACCTGATCTATACTATTTCACTGGTGTCATTGTCTGCGACGGGATATCGTTTAATATACCGGAAAAAATCTCGTTCAATCATCAAGAACTACAAGAGCTCACCTCTTACCCATTTTTTCCACTTTTTCACTTAATTTGTCAAAAAGTAATGAATCAATCGTTGAATAATATAAAAACTGAAAATAATTTGGATTCGTCAACTCCACCACCATTCCATCGATGCAAAAATACATCAGATCGCTTGTCATTACGTCGAATCAATGATGGTTATATCGATTGTCTTTATGGCGATGATGAAAGAAACCCTGATTATCCAATGACTCAACGATATCGTTATCAATGTCAAACTGTCACATCCCCATCTCAATATGTCAGTTATGCTAAATTAGGTGATGGCGTGGATGATTGTGCCGACGGAAGTGATGAGGTATCCAATGAGATACGTTGGTCGACTTTCAACTGTGATGTGAATGATAACTATGCATGTTGGGTTTTTCAAGGCGATCAGTTCGGAGAGAATCGTCTAAAAGACGCCCGACTTCATTTTCATCGTTATTGTGATTCGAACTGGGATATAATGGATGGTCGAGACGAAAAGAATTGCACAGATTGGATGTGTGATACTGGCTTATATAAATGTAATAGATCTGGACAGTGTATCGAGCGAAAATATATTTGTGATGGTGAATTCGACTGTGATGATGGTGAAGACGAAATAAATTGTTCTTTACCATGGATACCATGGAATCTCGAAGTGAAATGCAACAAGACCACTGAATTTTTCTGCATCACTGATGAGTATATTAAGAATCAAAGTTTGAATCGTTCTTGTATTTCTCGGCATCAAGTGGGTGACGGGTATATTGATTGTACTGGAGGTCGTGATGAACGTAACGTTGCATCGTGTCCTGATCATCGAATGGTTGGTGATCGTTTCTTGTGCGATAATGGAAGGAAATGCATCGATTACATAGCAGTATGCAATGGAATCAAGGACTGTGTGGACGAAACTGATGAGTCAATTTGCTATTGGAATACTGGCTATTGCCCTGCTGGCCAGTTTTCCTGTGCGGACCAAAAAGGTTGCAAGAGTACGAGGTGTACAACAGGAATGACATGCAATGATAAGTCCCATCGTTTCTGGTGTCCGAATTCAACTAGTGAAAATTATATCTATCGCTCGAGTAAGGATAGATCGATATTTGATATTAAAAAAGGATGTTACAATCAATTGGAATCCCACACCAAACTTTCTATTTCATCGTCATCCTCAAATCATCAAGTGAAAGCATTAGATGACCGATACTTCTACTGTAATCGAGGTTTTTATCTGCAAGCAATCGCTAGTTCCGAACTCTTCTGCTTTTGTCCGCCGACTTTTTACGGCGATCGTTGTCAATTCATCAGTCGACGAGTGGCCATTCGGCTTCGTTTCGATCGAAGGCAACGCCCTGATCTTCCACTTATTTGGAACGTCCTTGTCACACTTGTTCTAAACGGAAGCACAGTAGTTGATCATCAATTTTTTCTTGATGAAGCTAAAGAATACTCATCAAAGTCTACTACCTACTTGATCTATCCTCGACCGAAGCCTCCGGGTACCTATTCTGTTCGAATTGAGGCCTATCATTCTACAGAATTAATCCATTTCTGGGAATATCCTGTCAGTCCACTGGACTTTTTGCCTGTACTACGCATTGCCAAAGTGCTTCGATTTCCTGCTCGTTCATTTCCCTGGCTTTGTTCACACAACTATTGTGAAAACAATGGAACCTGTCATCAACGAGAGGACAACCGATTCCTCTGCATTTGTGCATACGGTTGGAAAGGTAAACTGTGCGAGATGAGAACGGAGCACATTCATTGTGCGTCGCATTCACTGGCACGAACAGAAACTATCTGTGTTTGTTCGCAAGGCTATCTCGAACCTTACTGTTACGTTCAGAATCTAAAGTGTCAACCACACACTTGTGAATTGAGTGAAACTTGCATTCCACGATCACATCTTCCTATCTATGGACATACTTGTATGTGTAACATATCTAATTGTAATGTCGACCGACCAGTGGTTAGCCTTCATCGACAAGAGCCGAATCAATCACCATTTCTTTTGCAATTACTACAGCTTACAGGAGACTATCCCACAATTCGTCAACAAATCCTCGTTCAGCCACTGACCTCGTTTCCATTGATTAAAACGATTAAAACTCGTGATAGGGATTTTGTAATTGGAGAACAACCTGAGATCGGATTACTCTTCACTTTTGAATCAAATGCACATTCAATCGAGACCACATTATATTTGTTGTTTATCAATTGTTCTAATACGATGCGAAACTTTTCCGTTGATCTTGATCAACAACTAAACAAATGTTATGTTCTACCCGAACATCAAAGACATGCTGTTACCTTGTTTGGCAACTTTTGCCAAAGTTTCACCTATGGTAGTTGCTTTATATCTGATGGATATCTCTGTTACTGTGGTTATCCGAATAAAAACCAGAGTAATTGTCTTTCTTATCAACGGCGATACACGGTATGTAACTATTGTCAAAATCAAGGGCACTGTGTTCAAGGTGATCTAACAAACAGAACTGATTTTACTTGTGTGTGTCCAAAGTGTGTCACAGGTGTGCTGTGTCAGTTTTCACCTAGTCGTTTCTCCATATCGCTAGAATTTCTCATTGAAAAAGCGGACTGGGGTCGCGCACATTTTATCGCACCGGTAATTCTCTTCATCGCCGGAATGTTCTTTAACTGCTTGTCTATTACCACTTTCGCACAACGAAAACCACGTAACAATGGAGTGGCTCTTCATCTTCTGGCAACGTCAGTGTTTAGTTTGTTGGTGCTGTTATTGTTACTTGTACGGATTAGCTATCTCTATATGGTACGACGTATCATAATCTCGAATGAAGTAAATACAGTCGTATGCAAGAGTCTACCCATGCTCATGTACACTTTCTACTATGTCACTTTGTGGTTAATGGCTATAGTTACAGTACAAAGAGCACTGGCTGCAGTGCAATATTCTCGATGGTCTTCGTTGCAAGAGCCAAAGAAAGCAGTTTCATTGATCTTGGGGATTGTATTGATTGTTTCAAGTTCGAATTACATATTTATCACTCAATACAAATTAGTCAATCATCCTGACTATTCACTTCCTTGGTGTATTCGTGAAATTCCACCGAATGAGCAAGTATTGACACAAATTTTGGCTTTGGCTCATCAGGCAGTTCCTTTCCTGGTTAACATTACCGCTGCATTGATCATCATTTTGACAATCACTCGATCTAAGGTGCATGCTCATGGAAAAACTACACACAATGCTCTGATCGATGAAACACGCAAACTAATCGATCTCCTGCTAGGTCCGATTTTTTGTTTTATAGCACAGTTAGCTGGGATCGTGATACTTTTTCTGAATGCTTGTGATTATGATACCAATGCATGGTTCTCCAAAATAACTTTGCTTAGCTACTACATCGCATTCGCACCACAAACAAGTATTTTCTTTCTCTATATTGTACCTTCGAGCCAGTATTACAGTATATTTTTGAAAGACTGCTGGTTAGGTAAATATCTATCGAACATGATAAAATCATCGACCGCTCTTTTTAAGTGGAAACACTAAGAAATGCAAGTGTAATAGTCTAGATGATCGTTTTTACAACATGAAAACTAGAATATTCGTTGTGGGCCTTATCAATGTCTTCATCATTTCCTTCATAAAACTCATTAAACCTTAATAAACAGAGAAAATGCAATCTCACAAGAAAAACTACTAATTCTCTATTGTCAACACTTACTAACTTACATGTTTTTCCTTTCTTGTTTATTATATCTAACAACCATAAAAATAAAAAAAAGAAAAAGTAGACTATCTGTACTTATTGTGCATTTCAATCGAATTCTTTCTGTATTTATTTTATAACAGTTACTTGAATCGATTTCTCTGTTGTATTTATTATTGTTCCATCTCGTATTCTCGTCGGTGCTTTTAATACTGATCCAACTTCAAATATACTTATTTTCTTTTACTCGAACATTGGCCATGTGGTTTATTGTACTTGCACGGATGTATATATTTTCCCATAGTTCATTAAATATTAAACTTCATACTTTAAATACAGTTAAATTTGTTCGACGAACTATATGTACTTGCACAATACTTCATATTCTTGCTGAGGGGTGGGTACGCGTGTTTCATTCATCTATCGCTCGCATCCCACCCTCACTCACACCCACGCCCACACCCACACCCACACCCACACCCATCCACACCTACACCCTCACACGTACATCCAAAAACTGTAATTATTGGTAATTACTGATTAATCTAAAGATCTATTAGAAATTGTCAAGGTTACTGCAATTAGAATGAGGGCCAAGAAAAATGCAAATGAAATACACTGACAAATAAAAATAATC